AACTGAGCGAAAATTAATGTTTCATTCCTTAACAAATCATGTGGTTTTCGAAACTGTTTGAAAATTTAGGCTAATTTGTTTTCCATCTGTATGCACACACAATCAAAACAATTATCGCATGCTAATAGGCACACATGTTAATCGCTACACCCCTCAAAAAAACTATCTAATCAACGCTTTTTTCATTCCAATCCATGAAGTTGCGTTCACTTCCTGGTGTGAGGTAAAAACAGATTGGATTGTTTTTTATCAAGGCAGAATTCTCAAAGTTCCGAGTGCTGTACGGCGTTCGTTGGTGTTTTTCAGTTTAAATTAAGTTTCAAGATTTTCCGTCCTCCAAAGTATTATCATAAAAAATTGGTTATATTGCAATCGCTTTCAAAACGAGCATCAAATGAAATTTTTACAAGAGGCATAATGTAATCCGCATAAAAACCTAAAGTTTTAGAAATAAGTAGTTAATTTTATGTTGTGGGTTTGCATTTAGGTATAAAAAACAACTATAATTTTATTTTATACCCAAATACAAACACACCCCCAAAAAAAATTGTTTATTTCTAAATTTATGTATTTTATGCGGATTACAGCATGCCTCTTGTGAAAATTTCATTTGATGCTGATTAAAGTTGGTCCCGTTTTAAAAAATGATTCGCAATATAACCAACAATTTTTGATATTACGGTGGAGGACGAAAAATATTGAAACCTAATTTATTTTGAAAAACACCAGAGAACGTCGACGGGCAGTCGCAACTTTGAGAATTCTGCCATGATAAGAAAAAATCTGATCTTTTTTCACCTTTGTTCACTTTTTGTACCTTACCAGTGGTATTTCAAATGTGGGGGCTAAAAATCACTGGTATGTCATAAAAAGTGCTAAAGCTGAAAACTTGCGCGGTTTAAATCTATCATTTTTAACAAATAAGTTTAGTCAAACAAAAACTATTCGCAGTAAAATATCTTTCTTGATTTCAGCGAATTTTGCTCAAATTTTCAATATGTGGTTTTAGATGTTGTAGGGACAGATAAAAAACAACTCAAACCAATAGTATTACTTTCCTTTCTCCAAATTTCAGAAGAAAAAGTTAGCGGCTTTTCTATAAGTTGTTTGGCGTTTGAAGCAGGGGCGGATCTAGGATTTTCTCGAGGGGGGGGCGGATTTTCAAAAAAATTCGAAAATTTTGACGACCTTTTTTTTTTTTTTTAGATCGACCAAATTGATTTTTCGAGCTCTCCCAAAGCAGTGTTTTGCCCCTATTTTGGCTAAATTTTCTGCGCCGCAAGCAAATTTTTGAAAAAACTGTCAAAAAAGCCGTTTTTGGGCACTTTTTGAAAAATTTTGACAAAAAAATCTCGTTTTTTTTGGCGCGCGCTCCCCCTCAAAGTTAGTATATATTGGCGCCAAAGGCGCCTTTAGAAAAATTTTAGGGTCGGTCGGGCAAAAATGGATTTCTGAAAAAGTATCAAAAGGGGACCCTTTGGGTCGGCAGGGGGTCGAATCCCTGAGGGGGGGGGCTAAAGCCCCCCCGCTCCCCCCCCCCCCCTAAATCCGCCCCTGGTTTGAAGGTCAAAGTTTAGCCAGAAATTCAGCCGGAATACCGAGAAAGAGCTCTAGAAAGTTTTCAGGGCGGCCCATTAAAAATTAAATTGGTTTCTATATGATACACTATCAATTTTAGAAATATGTGTTTTGAGGTACCTATTTTTCGACGAAAAACAATTTTGACGGCAAAACTCTTCCAACTGCGTACTCTATGTCAAAAAAAATTGGAAGCGTAGCAAACAATCCCCCATGGATGGTTTCGTAGTATTTTTGTTTGTTTTGGAATTCGATTATCCTTATTTTAGATGTTAAAGTCTACTAACATGATTTGGTCTGATGAGAACAAAAATGTAAGAAAAAGTTAAAACAGAAAAATACAAAAATACACCTCCATATAAGTAACTTGAAAGATTTTGCTGGTTGCGTGGAGCTAAAGCGAAATGAATCAAATTTGATTGAAATACAAAAATGACTATTTTTAGGAAAAAAATCAAGTCTTCTGGGAAAAGAAGGAGACGGGATTGTTTATTTGTCCGGACGGGCCAATTTTCAACCTAATGGAACGAAGTGGATAGAAGCGGGGTATTGAAAAGGCTATTCCCCGAAACTGGATAGTCTCTGGAAAAACTAATGAAGACAGTTTAGATAAAGACTCGGTCAACTTTGTTATTGAAACTTTTTGCAGTAAAATGGTATTTGAACTGAAAAATTCTTTCTTGCTAATTTAAGAGAGTACCCACACGGACAAAAATGGTTTCGGATTGACCAAAATCGATTAACAATGTACATTTTACGAACTTAAATGGATTTTAAATCGATATATATCAATCTTTTGTGAAAATTATGGATCGATTTAAATGTCTAGAATATCGATTTAAATCGATTTAGATGGATTTTTTGACTCACTAAAATCAATCCAAATTTCACTTAACTCAATTTAAATCGATTTAAATCGATCTTTCTTGAAATTTTTGGATCAATTTAAGTGTCTTAGAATCGATTTATATCAATTTGGATGGATTTTCAGACTCACTTAACTCAATTTTTATGCTAACAAGGCAAAAAAAATACTTTATTAGAGAAAAAAATAAAATATTTAATTCTCGACTTTTTCTAAAAAAAAAACACGTGCCAGATGTTATAGAATTCAATAAATTGATCCATAAAAATCAGATTTTAAGCTCGAAAGTATGTAATGTAAGCATAGAGCTTTATCGATATTTTGTCCTTTTTATTTGGTCTTTTTTAACATACCATACTCTTAGGATGTAAAATTGAAAATGATAGGCAATAAATAAGTGCGAAAAACACTGGAAACCGTTGAAATTCGACAAAAAAATGGACAAAAATTGATTTAAATCCGTTTTAATCCCCTTAAAAACAAAAACAAATTAAGACTGGAAAAAATGGATTTAAATCGATTTCAAATCTTTTTGAATCAGAGTTTTCAGCTGGGATTCTTGCTATGCAATTGTAAGCTTGATTATGATTGGACCAAAATTTAACTACTCATAAGCACAGTTGGCCGAGCGGCATTTGCAAATTTACTATATACAGACTTGCCAGTTGGCGCGGGTTCAAATCCCCCCAAGCGCAGACCTTGAAACATATAGACCCGAGGGAATATAGCCCAAGTTAATGTTTTTTGGTTCTAATTTGGTTCCGTTTTAATTAAAACTGACCGCCAAGAAGAGCAATTTGTCTCAAGGACAGTACCGGTTCTTGTGGCTAGCTTGCGCCGAAATAAATTATAATCAGAGCTGAATATTATTGATATTATAAGCTTGGTTTATGTGAGCTTTCTAGATTTTGGATTACTTACTGATTATAACGACATGAGTGGTTTGTTTTGCCGAAAATACGAATAAATCTTTTTTTGCCTAAGCAATGTTTCCCAGTTGCAGAGATTGAGCGCACAGGGATTTAAGATCAAAATAAATTGTTTTTGAATCGATCCAAATCGAACTTTTTTTAAATTAGTCTTTGTACTTTTTTCTCACTAAAAGCGATTTAAATTTAATCAACGTACTTTTTTCATAGTAAAATTGATCCTAATTCATTTTAATCAGTGCGGGTAGAGTCAAAAACTATTTTACCCTATTTAATTTGTTTTAATTCAAGTCAACATTTCGCATCAAAGTTTTCGAGACATTTGCGTAGCATTTTTTTGAAATCCTTCGCCATTGCAACGATCAGTGAAGGTTTCAAAATTTTGAAGAATGATCCTTTTCCTTTGCAATTCATCTCATTTCGGATGTATACGTTGCCTTATGCCCTCTTGACCAGTTCAAAACTTGCCGCGGAATCTTTAACTTCGAAATCGGAGCATTCAAAAACTTGAAAACTTTTTAGCCTACATTTTTCTTCCAATCACAGTTTTGTGTACTACGGAGTATAGCAAAACTGCTTAAAAAATAGTGCAAATTATAAAAAATGTTATGTCTAGGGGCGGATTTAGGGGGGAGGGGCGGGGGTGGACACCTCCTTTCCTCAGGGATTCGACCCCTTTGTACTATTTGAAGATATCCTATTTTGGTGACGGACCCTAAAACTTATCTAAGGCGCCTTCGACGCCAATATATAGTAACTTTGAATGGAGAGCTCGCGCCGAAAAAACGCAATTTTTTATTCAAATTTTTCCAAAAAGTGCCTAAAAAAACCTTTTTAGGCCCACTTTTCAAGTTTTGCCTGCGGCGCAGAAAATTAGTCCAATTGGGACTTTTTGGTGTTTTGGGAGAGCTCGAAAAATGATTTGGTCGAACTAAAAAAGTTTTCGAAAATCCGCCACCTCTCGAGAAAATCCTAGATCCGCCCCTGGCTAGGTCAAATCTTTCTGATTTTGTTCCGGCCACTTCACTTGAGTGACGAGAAAAAAAATATGGATGCAGTTAGTCTTATTTCTGCCCAATTTTTTTTAATCTATAAAACTCACAGGAGGTCAAGTCTTGTATCATATAACCCGCACTGAAATTCGGAAAATAGAATCATTTATACTAAACAATATTTAAACGAAATGTCATTATAATCCCTAATCAATGCAAATTTAGGGCAAAAAAATGATTATAATGTCATTATAATCCAGTATTTTTGCATTACATTCAATTGAAGACCACTAATTTTTTCTCGGATCTAGGTTTTTCTCCGGGGGGTGGGGGATTTTCAAAGTCTTTTTTTTAGGTCTATCAAATTGATTTTCTGAAATCTCTCAAAACACTGAAAAAACCGGGCACTGTTTTGGTCAAACTTTTTTTTTGGAAA